GAGGTTGTGATTTGCCTTACAAAGGTTTCGGAACGCATATCTGAAAGCAGGCAGACACCATGATTTGTGAGCGTATCACTCATTAGTGACATCTTTCTTTGCCCGATGCACGTGCCTGTGTCATCTAGTTCGTTTAATCAGAGACTTGATTCCGTGTTTATAGTGCTCATTGATTGTTTTGTGTTTTGCCATTTTGAAACAGGAGAATGCATGAGGCCAGTCGATGCTGGAGAAGGAGACAAGGAAGTACACGTGTTCTACTACAATAAACAGGAGAAGAAATGTATGCCATTTATCTACAAAGGTGAAGGAGGCAATAGAAACAGGTTCTCGACAATGCAAAAATGTGAAGAGAAATGTGTGAAGGGGAGAGAAAAAGAAAAGCCAAAACGCAAACCACATACGCCATCATCACGAGGTATGGTGCAAACCGATAAAGGAATATAGACATTTGGACCACATAATCCAATCCACAGACAAATAAACATGTGTTTCCAAATCTCTTGTTATCTTGTTCTAATACGCTTCAATTGAACAGGAAGATAGGTTACAGACATCTGACGAAGAGAGTACGTGGTGAACAAGCGCACACACACGCTCCGGAAATACGATCTAGGATACTAACGAATAACTGTCAAGTTAAATTACGCTTGTGGATAGTGACTGAATAATGAATGATCTGTCCAAAACCTAGAACGATTGACGTAGGCGAAAGATGATATGGAGTGTTTGCTTCACTCGAAGGTCGCGTTTATTTGCACTAGCTGTATTCTCCAACACGGCTTGATGTTTTGTTGGTTGATTTTGTGTATCCGGATAGACCGGCTAACACAATGACGGCATTTCGTTGTAGGGTGACAGATCGACACCGACTAACACCTAAGCTACCAACTTAGTACTAGCGTACATATATTAGTAGTTCTTGGGTAAAGAGCTCGGTTCAAGAGCCTCATGAAATAAAGGACAGAACCGAGATGCACAATATCCGAGATTAGGTTATTATTATTATTATTATTATTATTATTATTATTATTATTATTTTAACACATAGATATCGGTACAAGGAGGCACGAAATACATATGCGACACACAAATCTCATTCGATATGTGTGGGTGCTGTGATACTGACCGGGTGCTCAAACCGTCACTGACACTGTAGTGAACATGAACACCAGCGTTGACAACCGATTTACAGAGGTACTAGCTAAAATAGAAAAACCATACTATAGTATTTAATTTGCAAAATGTTCAGTAATTGTATGGAACTTCATTGTTCTTACTAATTGCTCTCTATTTCCGCTCTTCCTTTCTTGATCTTCCCCATGTCCTGCCACCAGACATTTCATTTCTGACTCGCGTCATATACTGCTTATATCAGTATAAGTAGCACGCACAACGATTGTAATCTTATAAAACTGAAGCTGATTCTTTAGTTGAAGCTAAAGACAACTGTTATTTTAATTGTCATCAATCTGTTCACCCAAGAGCGTGTGTGCAAGGGTCACAAATATTAATCAAATTATTCACTTATTAAGGATGGAAAAAGGCTAATAGTGGAATCCGTGACACACGTCCCGTCGTAATTGAGACTCGTCAGCTGTATGTACTTGCATCGCAATGCTGATGTTTATTCCAGGTCTGGAAACCAGTACCGTTCGAATCAAATAATATCACGTTATCCACTTGGCTACTAGGTTCTAATAGTCACTTGTTTGCGACATCTTTGCTCATAATGCTTGTGTATTCAGGCATTATCGAGGCAGCATGCACAGTATGCACATATGTCAACAGGAGACTGATCAATTTCAGTCCTAGACATCAATGAGAAGATTCAAGTAGACAATACCAAATGAATTTATTCACGGATTACTTGGAATTATTCATACTTCTAAGACTTCACAATAACATGTAGATGAATTATTTGCAAGTAACAAAAATTTAGAACATTCAATAATGAATTTTCAATAACACTTCAAAACGAAACAGTAAATTAAAAGAACAAGATGAGATAATAAAATTACACGTTTCATTTCACACTGATAAATAAATAAATAGATAAATCTATCAGTGAATCTTTGGAAATAATTAAATGCGCACGGCTGAGGAGTCCCATACTAGGACAAAACGACCGTTCCGTGTGTTTTTAGGTTTTCCATGGTGATCTTGCTTCAACCATTAAAAGTCACTACAGTCTTCACAAACGCCCTCTCTAATAAACCTTAGAAATAGTTGACTCTCAAAGGAATATTTTTAGCTTCGTATAATCTATTTGTCATTTAATCGCATGTTGTATGAAGTCAAATAGAATTCAACAAATAACAAAATCTATGTTTCTATCTAAATATAACTAGTATTCTCTGTTTATTCTTCAACAGATAAACAGGAAGTGTTCAAAGTCTATATACATACATGATCAGAGCTAAACATTATCGATAAGAATTGTAAGTAATAATAGATATATCACAAAACATGACCTTGGAACATAAATGTGCTGTTACACATTCATTTATATATAAATATCATGTACATATAATAAGACTGAAACTTAATAATAGTGTTATTATAAAGTGTATATTCTAGTTATTATAGCAGTGTTTCTTAATTTGTATCATGTGTATGTTGAGACCGCCTGATGCAGTAGCTGCTGATACATTGGCTGTCTTGACCAGTATTTGTTGATGTTTATGGGATAGAAAAGCTGGGCCATCTGCTAAGCACAAACCGTCTATTGATATCCAAATTGTCCTTCGTATTCCATGCTTCTTTCGAAAAGTGAAGCTTTTAACACTCCGTCCGGCCATGAGAAGAAAGAGAAAGGTTGAATGTAAACAGCCTTGTCTGACACCAGTCTTCACTTGAAATACATCTGTAGGATGTCCTCCATTCACGACTTCTCAGTATAGTCCGTTATCTGATTATACTTAGTTACAATAGAATATACACCTATCGTCAGGTTTGCTACACACCTTCATCGAAATTTTAATTATATGTAAAACAAACACACGCAACTGAATAGTAATTTTCTAGCTGGTTACTAAAATCTTTCATCAAATACATTAGCTTAGCTAAAATGTCCTGACAAATGTTTTGCAGAAAAAGTACGACTAATGACTTATACCAGCTTAATCATTTTACAGCAATAAAAATATATATTTTGGAAAGTATAGGAAGGCACCATGGTGAAATCAACTATTAACATCGATACTCTCAACAACAACAACAACAAGAGCAACGAAAAGCTGTTTAAATAATTGTGACAAAAAGAGACATTCATAGATCTTTCTTTGTCACGGTAACATTAAAACCCCCTTTTTTATTATTTTTTTCTGTTTTCACTTACTACGTCATTCATTATTCGAACTCTTTCCGAAGTTTAGAATTATATCATTCATAACCGACTGATTCCAATTCATATCTTTCTTTATTACCATTGATCTATTTTCAGTTGCTTGATTACACAATCATCTAATAATTGTTAACTCCATCAGTTCTAATCTCTATTTCAATGTTCCGGTACTTTCTCTCCCAAATTTTATTTCTTCTAACCAAAAATTAATTGACCTCATTAACTCTATCGGAATCTTCGCTACATCATGATACATATATTCATCATTATTCACCATCTTATGTATAGGTACGTCAATACCAGAAATAACTCTGGTTTCCAAATATTATAGATTGTAAGCAGCTCATGAATACCTAACGAAGTAAAATGAATTCATATTATTCTGAATCAATTTTTGTTTTTACACTATTAAAGACATAGTTTCAGAAAATTAACAAAGGGTTCAGATTCTAGTACTCTACAGTTGTATTGATTCCCGAACGTTAATCTAGCATTGGACATTTCGATATAACCGATATTTTTGTTAACACATAAATGGAGTTTGGCATTGTAGTGATAAAAAATACAAATGGAGGCAAACGAACGTATTTGAACACAATATTACAGAATATTTCACTAAGATCTGACAAGCGTACTGTGAATGCTTAATTTGCGAAATATCAATCAATTGTCTCAGTCTTGACTGTTTCTTTTGGAAATATCAGTCTATCGTCTCAGATTTCGTTGTTCCTGCATTTTCATGCCAATTGCTTTCTGTTCCCGTTCTTTCCTTCTCCATTTTCTAATCAAATACATTCTATTCCTGACTATCATTATATACTATTTATGTGCATAAGTAGCGCACACCACAGTATAAATAGACAATAGAAAGTGTTCAGAGTGTGTGTATTACGCACATATTATTTTGAGTAAATGATGAATAGATTTTGTTCGGTAGAAAAATAATGATATTATTATTATTATTGTTATTATTATTATTATTAACAGTATGCTGTTGTGGAGATTATTATGTTTTTAACTGAGATTATGGACCGATTGATGATAGACCACAATCGAAAACCTGGAAGCACTGAACGGCCGATTTGTCCTATTGTGGGACTCCTCAGCGGTGCGTAACCAAAATCCTGCTCGCGGGATTCCAACCCAGCACCTTTGGTCTCGCGCGCGAGCGCTTAACCTTTAGATCACTGAGCCGGCATTCAACGGTGTTAATGTCCAACCTCGACCAATCCACGAAATTGCGTGTCCATCTCCATTGTTAATAATATTATACTAAATGACCGATTTATTTAAAGTTATTGTCAATTTTTGACGTTGATAGATGTCGTTTAGATTACTTTTCTTCCAACACAAATGTGCATCTAAGTTGGAATTTTAGTACATACAAACGGAGGTTTTAAATAGTAAACCAATTTATATATAATAAAAATCATTCGGAAATGTTGTATAACACCTCTGTATAGCTAGGCACTGAAACAGTGTTAACTGTTTCTATGAACATGATTCAATTGTTCATTTTGATGAATCATTTTTGTGAAGATGTTTAACACCACATAAATAACAGTATTTTTGTATCATAGAGCAACCATCCACCATAAGTGTAACTTGGGTTACACAAGAAAACACAGAGAGTTCAACTGTACTCTATGGTACTATGCTGTTAAATATGAAAAGTACTGGCTACGTTAAAGAGTTTATTGATGGAGGACGTGAACAACGCAAAATGTATATACATCGAGTGATCTTATCCGATTTAATTGGTAATACAACTTATTGTAAGTTTAAAAAGTCCTTCTATGAATAAAAAGGATTTTTTTCTTTACTGACATCCGCAGTTTGTTAAAATGATAACCTTTCTGAATATATATCTCTTTGTTATAAATGAATCACACCTGACAACATTTATTCATAGCTCTCCTGAAAAATGCTGAGTCGTCGATTTCTCATGGCTACAACACTGAGTTTAGACAAATCATAAATTATTCGAACCTAATCTCCTAAAATAAGTAATTCTGTCCTAAGCCTTAGCAGGATTATTGTGATCTCAATCCTGGGTAGAGGAAGAAAGTTAGGCCTGGAGTAATCTACCCCAAACAGTAATAAAAACCTTTCTAAATAAAGGTTTACTAGGATGAAAGCAATGAAATTTCAAACTTAATGCCACTTTTTATCTAGTACGATTGTGATTTAGAGGTTTCAAATAATAGTTAGCATGAAACTTTGGTTTTTGATTTATTGCTTATCGCCTAGAAACACTTAAAACTAAAGTCAAGAGCATACTCTATAGTTTGTCTGACAATGCACGACTACTAGACTAGACACATTTAGGAATGGCTGCCGTTCGCTAGTTAATATCCCGAATCTATGAGAATTCATTAGCTGATAGACAACAAATTAGTAACATCCCTGAAAGAGTCGATACTATTCTGACTGTAAAATTTCCTCTCAGCAGAGAGGAGATTAGTTGTACTAGATGAATTTTATCGTAATTAGTAAAGTTTCTGCATAAGCTACCTCTTTACTAGCACACAAGCATAAGCAATGAAGTAATCGATATCATTTTATTTCAAATGACTTAGTAATTAACTGAGAACTAAGATGATTTTTCAGTTTAAGTAGCAGTGTCAGGTGTCAAACTCAGATAGTCTTTGGGCTTATCATATATTTTTCGCTTTGCAGATTATAAATGTGGTAGTTTAGATGGTTGGTCAGATGTTTTGAAATTTCGTGCTCTCCCATCTCATCCTTATTGGTCACCTAAAATAGCAGTTTATGGAGATATGGGGACAGCTGATGCACTTTCACTACCCGAATTAATTCATCAAGTCAAAGATTTAAATAGTTATGATGTGGTATTACATGTTGGTGATTTCGCCTATAATATGGATTCAGTAAGTAACTAACATTCAACCTATTAATAACATAAACACTGGCTAAAGACCGATGTCGTATTTTAGTGGAGTAATACTGGTAAACAAGCATCTCTAGACGGAATATAGCACACTATTTGGAGATTTTTAAAATCATATGCAAACGATGTTCATGAGATTTCAGAAAAATGTCGTTTTCCAGTTTGACATAGCCTGTGGAACTATCCAAGAGTATAACCAATGGTCACTTCTATATTTGTTAGTAAATGTCCATTAAGTGCTCCATATTATTGCCCAGAAAAGGTTTATGTACATGAATAATGCTCGTTATATAATTTGTATACTTTGTTAATTATATTTTAATGGTAGTTTCTAGGCTAAATTATTTAAAACGCGTATAAACCTTGGAAAATAACTTTAGTAATGATCGTTAATGAGTGAAATCATATTTAGAAGTAATATAGCTGAATAGAAATCTTTTGTATGTTAGTTTATCTACCAACTATACAAATAGCTTCTTTATTCTGGGAAAGAAATTAGAACAATGTGCTTCACTTTCTGACAAAATCATTCCTAGGTTTAACTTAAAACTTCCGCTAGTAAATGTTCATGAACTTACCTATTCACAAAAATGTTCAGTGGCTACTAGATATCTGACTCCAGTTAGATCAGACGAATGATCGTTATCGAATGATTGCTGTCGAAATATATATGTCGCCAATCCTCGTATATAATGAACGACTTGAATCGCGTTAGTAAATAACGGAGTTAAATAAGTTAAATGCGACAATGAAATTTTGAATACATATATTTTGTAAACTCATTGATCTGGCAATCGGGGAGACGATGTGAAAGAAGTAAAGAGAAGTGGGAGAAGCAAAATAACGCGCAGTGGAGAATGCGTGTGAGCCAACTCGATTTAATCAAGCGTTAATCGATATTTCTAGTCACAAAAAAATAAGTTACAGACATGTAATGAGTAAGATGAGAGATGCACACACATACGCTCAAATAAAATCAGTCAAGGTTGATAAGTGATTAATGAAGGAGGTCAAAATGTGTAAGCTAGAATAGTCAATGTGTGCTTAACATAGCAACCGACACTATAACAAATACTGATAACTACCAGAAGGGGTTTTGTGGAGATTGTAGTATTTTCATTAGTTGAGATGCGTCGCCCGATTTCGTGGACTAGTTGAAGTTAGACACTAACACCGTTAGATACTGTCTCGGTGGTCAGGAGGTTAAGCGTTCACGCGCGAGACTGATAGGTCCTGAGTTCGAATCTCGTGACGCGGGGTTGTGGATACACACTACTGAGGAGTACCACAATGGGACGAGACGGCCGCCTAGTGTTTCCAATTTTTCCATGGTGGTCTAGCCTCAATTGACTCATGACCTCAACTATTGAAATTACTGATAACATATTTCTAAGATTCATTCCTTGAATTTTAGTATTTCAATATGAGAAAATAAAATCAATTTGATAGACTGGTAGATATGTACTTCATTCATTTGATTAATGAGTCGAAAATGTAGATGTAGGGATAACAAAACTAGATGTCATTTTATTACTGGAAAGATATGAAAAATTTATGGTAATATGACATTGTCCAATAGTAAACTTTATAAAGACATGTTATTTTTTAGGTTAAGATATTAAATTTAACTTAAAAAGCATCTCTAATCACCATGATCAGCAAAAGTACAAACAGCTGCCCTTAACTCTACAGTTTCTCCGCTGATGATACTCAGCCAAAAAGATATTCTTTGTCAGTATAGTAAATTCTTGATAAAAATGCTTAACATCAATTTCTGCACTACATTGTTAGTAATTGTAACCTTTGTTTGTCGCAATTGAATATTCTTACTCTTATAAAAGTAACGTTGAAAAGTCTTTCAATAATTTGATACATGTTTTTCATGTTGAAACTAAATTTCAGGATAACGCAAGAGTTGGTGATCAATTTATGCGTAATATACAACCAATTGCATCAAAAGTTCCTTATATGACATGTGTTGGTAACCATGAAGCTGCTTAGTAAGTGAACAAACTTTGTTTAATTTATTTTCAATTAGGTTCTTAGTTTTCTACAAAGAAAATTAAACAGTAGTGTTTTGATGAAGGAGAACACAGGTGAGGACAACCAGAGTTACTTGATAAAATAGAAAGACCATACTCCAATACTTCATATGCAAAATGTTTATTAAGTGTCACAGACTTCATTGTTCCTGCATTTTCATACGAATTGCTTTCTGTTCCAATTCTTCCCTCCTCCATCTTCTCAACCTTCTGCTTCCAGACATTCTATTTCTGACTAGCGTTATATACTACTCATGTGGACATAAGTAGCACATACCACAGTATGACAATTTTTGATCTCAATAATTGGAATTCATTTTGAAATCCATCGCATTGTACACTAACATATTAACTTGGTGAAAACATGAAATAAGTGAATGAACAGTGCTGAGCTAAACAATTTTCAACTGGCTGACATATAATTTCTCAATCAGATGTGAAAATAAAATCCACAGTGCAACGCCAAAAATGTTCTCGATTAAGTAGGATTAAGCATGAATATGTACGATTTTTACATCTCATACTCGAAATATAAATTTAGGCTTTGTTATCGACTGCTGAAAAACTGATTTAACTAAGTCACCTACATCTGACAGTAGTTTACTTTGTACTGTTTTAACTTTATGGTTGAATTCATGAGTCAATTGAAGCTAGACCACCATGGAAAACATGCAAGCACTGGAAGGCCGTTTCGTCCTAATATGGGACTCCTCAGCAGTGCGCATCAACGATCTCGCTCGCCGAATTCAAACCCAGGACCTTCAGTCTCGCGCTCGAACGCTTAACCTACAGACCACTGAGCCGGTATCGAATGGTGTTAACTTCCAACTGTTAAAAAATAGACAAACTACTTTTATAGTATCAATGGGTTGTGCATAAAGTCATATGCATCAGTTCCTTGTTATATAATTTTACCAATATGAATACTGACAGTAATGTATTCTGTTTAAAAAATTACTCACTTACTTGCGCATGCTGCCCCTCGTGGATGAATATAGGCAACCCAACTGCACTCCCCATCCAAACCTGTCTTGGGAAATCCCCTCCAGTTCTTTCCAGTTGCTATTCATCCTTCTCATATTTGCTCCCAATTATCGACACAATATGTTCTTTGGTCATCCTCTCATCCGTTTCCCTTCAGGATTCCAAGTCACAGATTGTCTCGTGATGCAGTTTAAGGATTTCCGCAATGTATATCCTATCCACTTCGAAAGTCATTTCCTAATTCCATCTTCAGCTCAAATTTGGTTTGTTCTCTTTCACAGAAGGCTGTTCCTGATGGTATCCGATGAACACCAGTTGAGTATTTTGCGTAGACAAGTGTTTATCAATACTTGTATGTTTTGATAATGGTTGTGATACTGCTCCACGTTTCAGCTCCATACAGTAGATCTGCCTTGATGTTCGTATTGAAGATTCTGACTTCGATGTTGATTGACAGACAGTTGTTTTAAGTCCCATATGTTCCTGAATTGTAGGAATGTGGCCGTTGTCTCCTAGTCCTGTTAATACAATACTAGGTAAATAAAAGAAAAGTTTTTGTACTAAGTGCACGATTACTAGTTGATAGAAAGTCAATTGACAACAATTCCTTAAAATAAAGAAATAGATTATCATGATTTAACAGCTAATTAGTATTTTCTTCTTTAATAAACGCTTCTTTTTTAGCAATTTCTCAAATTACAAAGCAAGATTCACAATGCCTGGAGGTGATGGCGAATCACAATTTTATAGGTAAATCAATATTGCTATCTAATAGTACTAAGAAAATTTATCAATGTAAATGGACAACTTGCCAATTTATATCACTTTTTTTCAATGTTTCATTAATGTCCGGTTAAAACAGAAATTAAACCTTTGAAACCAATTAGTTATACGTTTATTTTGATGTTCCAAATATGTTGATGCTACAGAAGTAGAGCACTTATTATTATTATTATTATTTGAACACAAGTAGGTTATATCTGATCAGATTGTTCGAAATGTATTGCATGATGGCCAGATATGGATAACAAGTAATCAGCTATCTGTTCTAATGATTCACAGAGTAGGAAAACATGTTATCTTTTTGTTTACAAAGTGTTTATACTAATATCAGAATGAAGCTGATTGTTATTTATCTCCTGTGTATGCGTGTATGTCTAAAAAAAGTTAAATCCAATCTTAATTGTTCTTTTTTTTTAAATAGCTGTTTATGAAAATTGTGTGACAGTGAGTTCATATAAACGTTGACTGCGATCACGTCAATCGCTCTCTTGTTTTACCACCCATGTCTCATATTATTAGTTGCGATTAATTTTCTTTTTTTTTTTTTAATTTAACCAATTTTGACTAAAGCTTGTTTAATTCTTAGTTTATTCTCCAGGCCATGAAATGTGATACTTACAGGTTTACAATTAATCAATTAATTAAGTATATACATCTATTTCTCCTGTTTCCATTACATTCCCCTTAACATCCGATGTTTCGTCATTGATGTATTAAATGTTATTTATGTTGATAAAAAGTAAACTATTAGTTAAGTCGGCATGAGCTGTTCGCAAATTTATTTTTATATCTGAAATATTCTGTTTATAAGATAGAAGTCGGTCTTTATGTGTAATATATCCCGACGAGAATAATGAATGTTAACTGTTGGGATCTATTTATAGTCAAATACGACAAACATGTCTTTATTGTATAATTGTTAAGTAACGAGACTATGTATATTCATATTGCTCTTACTAAAAGCTTTATTTTGATCTATAGATTATCATTATTGTACGATTTAACGTTTTTGAGTTATGCCCAGTTTATTAATTACTGTCTCCCACATTTGTAGCCACTTTTGGCTAGATCTTGTACAAATGTCGTTTTCTACTTTATCGTGTGATGTGGTCTGTTTGGTTAGTATATAAACCCGGTATGTTTGAAATACATGATTCATATCACGGAAGCTGTTATTGATGTTCTAGACCCAACAGACAAGGCTAGGTTGGAAGAAGAACAGATAAGGATTCTAGACTGCTAGTTGTTAAGCCCTCGCGCGCGAGACTGATAGTTCCTGAGTTCGAATCTCGCGGAGGTGTGTAGGACCGTGCATAGACATTGCTGAAGAGTCTCATACTGGGACGAAACGACCGTCCAATGCTTCCAGGTCTTCTATGGTGGTCTAGCTTCAATTGACTCATGATTTCAAATATTGAAAGATATATATAATAAAATAAAGTAATTAAGTTTCGTTTTTATGTAAGTTTCATTAGTTTCTTATATGAATAGAAGACATGTACAAATGTTCCTTAATATTAATAGAATATTTTTGTTTCAATTTATTCCCATCAAGCATACCATGTAATGAAATAGATCATTACAGAAAACTATGGAAAATAAGTTTTTGCTTCTGTTTTTTGAGCTTGTGAAAATAATCAGATGGCATAACAACAAACTTTATTTGTATGGCAGAAAATTCTTTTTCTTTTTCATGTTAGAGAATCAATCTAATCTTTTATTAATCCATATATGTGTAATTTGTGAATGATGGTTATTCCATTTATTCTATTCACTATTACTCGATCAGTCACAGTTTCTGTTTTCTTTGAATATATACAAGTAAGAATAAGTAAATATCTTATTGGAGCCTATGTTATAAAGTGAAGGCAACTATCATCAGATTTTGGCAATGAAAATCTTGTGCCCTATCAAATTACAACGTAATGATACCGTTTTACTGAACAACAGCACAATTTGTATCAATCCAATATGATTGAATACAACGTTACAGCATATCTAAGTAAAATCTGAGAATCATATAGTAATTAGTTAATTTGCTAAATATCAATCAGTCGTCTCAGACTTCACTTTTCTTGCATTTCCATACCAATTTCTATCTGTTCCCATTATTCCCTTCTTAATTCCTGACTAACGTTATATACTACTTATATGGATATAAGTAGCACACACTACACAGCCTATTAGAGAACAGTGATTTATCGACAGGATCAATGACGTGTACGAGCAGCCTGGAGTCTTTATAGGCTTTTATTCCAGCCTGGCCCTGTTGAGTCCAGAACACCAATAACAGCCTCCGTGATATGAATAATCTATTTCAAACATACCGGGTTTAAGCAAAGATGGATAGTGGCTAGCATTGGAATTCAGGACGCGCGTTTCCTCTTATTTGGGACTCGTCCGAGAGACGTGCCTGCATCCCAGAGTTGACGATCATTCCAGGACTCGTAACCAGTACCGTTTGCTTCAAACGCGATCACGTTATCCACTTAGCTACTGAGTTCTGATAGCCACTTGCTTGTGCAATTGGTCAAGTTTAAATTCACTTGGTGTTGTTCTACTTGTTTCTTCACATTATTGTCTGGGACTGCAGTTGATCAGTCTCCTATTAGCATATGTGCAACCTGTGCTGATGATTCACGAACGGTATCGGATTCGAGTCCCAGAGTAGACATCAACTCTGGGATGCAGGTACATCCAGCTGACGAGCCCAAAATAGGACGAAACACGCGTCAAACTGGATTCCATTGCTAGTCACTATCCATCTTTGCTTAGAAAGCTTGCGATTTAAGACTATGTCGAGGCAATCCGCACAGGATGCTCATATGTCAACATGAGACTGATCAATTACAGTCCTAAATAACAATGGGAAAATACAAGTAAAACAACACCAAGTGAATTCATACTGGGTTTATATACAAATTTAACAGACCACATCACACCATAAAATAGAAAACGACATTTGTGCAAGATAAACATTGATTGTTTACAACTTATGAACCTGAATGAGGTATATCCTTCCAAATCCGAAGAATTGAGAGTAGTGTAAGATGTCTGACGTCACGTTTGTTTGATTTCTTCAAACTTGTAAACTACTAACCAAAAATAAACCTACTTCATCATGATGATGCAGTGACACATACCGTTCATGAGGTGTTAGAAAACTAGACTACAGATATACCAATAGATTTATGGAGGACGTGTAATCGATTTTAAACCAATCAAATTAACAGTGACTAGATTTCGAAGCTTTCAGTAAACGGACAAGCAGCATGATAATGAGAATTAGAATTTTCAATTATGATCTTCCAACTTAATTGTTTGCTATCACGTGTGATTAACATAGTAACATAATCATTTTGCACGTATCTGAAAAACTAAATTGCCAGTTGCTTCATATTTGTTACTATCATGATCTACACGGCTAATATAACCTCAGCCATAATCAAAATTTTTAATAGCCTAATGAATTTTGACTAGAATAACATACATTAACATCAGTTACCTGCATCTGAATAGACTTCAAGGTGATTAACTAAACGTTAGACTATAAAAGTAAATCGATTTCCGCTTGTTACAGTACAACAGTTTAGTATACAGTTGTTTTGACACTGGTCATTTCTCGGAGGACTACGGAAAACCTCTGTTAGGCAAAACGTTGAATATAACTAATTTCAGCTCCTCATATCAATAAAATAAAAACATATCCATATAATGTAAGTTATAGGGAATTAGTACTTTATTAAGGATTCATTTTTCCAGAAGTCCCAGTGATTTACGATTGTTTCACTTATTTTCGTCGAATATGACTATTTATTATGATTATGAACATGGATCATTTTAACAAAATCCACTCTATATCCCGAAATTTATCCCTAAATTCGGAAACTGCTCTCGATACCAGACGTTCTTGTAGTGCAAACTGTTGATAATAAAGTGTTATTAACTTTTTTATGGTTTTAAACCGCTACTATTTATCATTTCATTGCGGAAGGACACATACAATTAAAGGGTCGTTTAGTAAGTTAAACTATGATTATTAGAACCTGACTTAAAACTTGAATAATGTATATCCACTAAAATCCCATAACTTGAAGAACATCTAAGAAGTATTTGTCATACATTTGGAAGATTCAGAACTATGTATACATAGGAAACCTGCGTAAATTCTTCTTCTAAAATTGTCTTGATCTTTCGTAACTTTTGTTCTCTTCATTCATCAGCTTTACTTAAATCTTCTCAATGAATCTTTGATCATCAAATGATTTGTCACCGTTTCTATAATCCTCCTAATAACAGTGCATCTCAAGTCCAGTACTTGATCATTTCACATTGAGCCTTCCTTTTTCAGTTATAATTCTATATCTATCTTCATGATCGGATAACAATTAAACTAATAGTTCCCTTCATTAAAATCGCATTTTCGTATCTTTATTTCTTTTACTTCACTGTTACCATAATTAACAAAATTGTATTACCACTATTATTGCCATTATTATCATTTTGGGAAATTAGTATATAATTGCGATTATACTACTCGATAAGTAGATTTACTGAAAGGAGAATTCTTCACTGAACCAATATATCTTATTTTACGGATATATATCTCCAACCCAATCATGTCCATTATTGTTTGCAAACGATTTATACTACTAATTTATAAAATAAATAGTCCAAAACCTAGGGAAACATATTTTTCCATTAAACATTATTGTCAACTAGCATAATGAATAAAAAGTTAGCGCATTTTATTATCAAAACTTAGGAAATAAATAGGTTGTTCATATCTAAAGTCATGATATAGAAGCTCAATAGGTGAATTCAAGATCGATTTTATAGTCTTGATATAATTACTTGATAGAAAAAGCCTGATAATTTTCGTTCTACAACAGAGAAATTGTCAGTATGAGGTTTTGGAGATCATTAGGCTTTTTGATTGAGATCATGAACCTATTGATATTAGACCACCATTGAAAACCTGGAACACCGAACGGCCGTCTCTGCCACTCGGCTTCACATCCAAAACGTTACCACTGAGCTATCAGGGCCACAACTAACCTGTAGGACTGAGATGTATTCACAATTGACTGATCACTGGGTGGTGATCATTTACATGTCAGGTCCTAGTGGCCATATTGCAACTTGGTCGATAGGATTCGATCTGCACTTAGAAGGATGTGACATACATGACAATTAGAGGTACAAAATTCCGAACGGTTGTTAACCAGTTTCTGTATAACAAAAAACTTTATAACTGAAAATTGTTCTGAATTGTACATATATATTCGAGACGGAGAAATGAATGTAAACAAACAATTACACTACATGGTTTGTTCTAATCTAAAGTGTTTAGTCAACAGGAAGTAATATAAATTGAAGTAGACACGTATAAAATGTAGACTTGTCCATGATAACACTTTAAATTGTTTACAAGTAGAGAGCTAATAAAATGGCATTCAATTTTAGATCATTTTACAGTCATATATGTAATTATTCTTAGTACCTAAAAAAGTCTGTAGTAGTAGTAGTAGTAGTAGTAGTAGTAGTAGTAGTAGTAGTAGTAGTAGTAGTAGTAGTAGTAGTAGTAGTAGTAGTAGTAGTAGTAGTAGTAGTAGTAGTAGTAGTAGTAGTAGTAGTAGTAGTAGTAGTAGTAGTAGTAGTAGTAGTAGTAGTAGTAGTAGTAGTAGTAGTAGTAGTAGTAGTAGTAGTAGTAGTAGTAGTAGTAGTAGTAGTAGTAGTAGTAGTAGTAGTAGTAGTAGTAGTAGTAGTAGTAGTAGTAGTAGTAGTAGTAGTAGTAGTAGTAGTAGTAGTAGTAGTAGTAGTAGTAGTAGTAGTAGTAGTAGTAGTAGTAGTAGTAGTAGTAGTAGTAGTAGTAGTAGTAGTAGTAGTAGTAGTAGTAGTAGTAGTAGTAGTAGTAGTAGTAGTAGTAGTAGTAGTAGTAGTAGTAGTAGTAGTAGTAGTAGTAGTAGTAGTAGTAGTAGTAGTAGTAGTAGTAGTAGTAGTAGTAGTAGTAGTAGTAGTAGTAGTAGTAGTAGTAGTAGTAGTAGTAGTAGTAGTAGTAGTAGTAGTAGTAGTAGTAGTAGTAGTAGTAGTAGTAGTAGTAGTAGTAGTAGTAGTAGTAGTAGTAGTAGTAGTAGTAGTAGTAGTAGTAGTAGTAGTAGTAGTAGTAGTAGTAGTAGTAGTAGTAGTAGTAGTAGTAGTAGTAGTAGTAGTAGTAGTAGTAGTAGTAGTAGTAGTAGTAGTAGTAGTAGTAGTAGTAGTAGTAGTAGTAGTAGTAGTAGTAGTAGTAGTAGTAGTAGTAGTAGTAGTAGTAGTAGTAGTAGTAGTAGTAGTAGTAGTAGTAGTAGTAGTAGTAGTAGTAGTAGTAGTAGTAGTAGTAGTAGTAGTAGTAGTAGTAGTAGTAGTAGTAGCAAAATCGAATTATATCTCAATGTATGTTTTCATGAATGAATATAAGCTACACGATATGTAACATGTATTCAAGGAAAAAATTATGGCTATTCATATTCACATTTTAGAAAAGGAAGCTGCTATTAAGTTGGATCATATATATGTTTGATAGAAAGAAGATCTAAGTTAAAGGAATCACACTACTATCAGTACCAGGAAAGATTTTCAACTGAGTGTTTCTGAACTGGATGAAAGATTCAGTAGACGCACAACTTTCAGATCAACAGGTCGTGCACACACCAAATTGCGACACTATGGATCATCGTTGAACAATCGGTTGAATAGAATTCGTCACCATATATCAACTACCTTGATTATGAGAAAGCATTTAACAGTGTGGATTGGAGGACATTATAGAAACTTCTTCGATACTACGGAGTACCTGAGACAATCGACAATATCATCCGAATTCATACGATGGGCTACAGTGTAATGTGGTGCATGGGGGACAGCTGACAGATGCATTCCAAGTGAGGACCGGAGTCAGGCAAGGTATCTTACTCTCTCCTTTCTCTTTCTTCTGGTGGTCAACCGGATTATGAAGATCACATCTGACGGGAAACACGGAGTAAAATAGTTAGGTTGGATGAAACTAAACGGTTTGGACTTTACAGATGACTTGGCCCTTCTATCCCATACATATTAACAAATGCAGATGAAGACAACTAGTGCACCAGAAGTCTCTGCATCAGTAGGCCTCAACATACACATGGGAAAAAGCAAGACCCTAAAAACAACACGGAGAACACCAACCCAGTTACATTTGTTGAAGAATCACTAGAAAGGTGGAAATTTTCACATATCTGGGTAGCATCATCGATGAACGTGCAGGATCTGATGCAAACGTAAATACAAGGATCAGCAAGTAAGGACAGCATTCCTACCATTGATGAACATATGGGACTCAAAACAACTGACAACCAATGTCAAAGTCTGAATCTTCAATACGAACGGCTAGACGGTCTTACTGTACGGAGCTGAAACGTGATGAACTACAACAACCATCATCAAAGCGTACAAGTATTGATAAACAGTTGTCTACGTAACATACTCAATGTCCGCTGGCTGAATAACATCAGAAACAGCCTACAGTGGAAGAGAACAAACCAACTTCCAGATGAGGAAGAAATTAGGAAAAGATGTTGGGAGTGTATAGGACAAACATTGATGAAATAATTGAACGGCATCACGAGAGAAGCGCCAACTTGGAATCCTGGAGGAAAGCGGATGAGAAGAAGGCCAAAGAACACACAGCATTGAGAATTGGGAGCAGACATGAAAAAGATGAATAATATCTGGAAACAACTGGAAAGGAGTGCTCAAGACAGAGTCGGATGGAGAATGTTGGTGAGCGGCCTATGCTCCTGCATGAGGGTTAACAGGCGTAAGTAATATCTTTTGATCTGTTTTTCATTCCTGATATTCCCAAAATTTTATTTTCACTTTTTAATCTGACTGTATTAAACTCTTATTTCAATCATTTGTGTTAAATAATTTATTTATGAACACAGTTACCATTAGCATAAGAATCTTTTGCTTAGATCCTAACTGATATTTCAGTACTATGTTTGTACATAATCTTCACTTGCATCATGTTACTCTAGTGAAATTTGTGTCTAAAGCAAATTCTAACAAACCTCAATTCTAAAATCATGTTAAACCTTTATTGTATATCAATTTCAAAACATTATTGATTGTATTCAGCCAATGAGAAGCAGGTATATATAAATGGTCAGTACTTCACAACTAACAATCATCTGTAATCATATTTCATTGAAGACTAACATAATCAAATAGGAGAACGTGCATTGCTGAGGAGTCCCATACTGGGACGAAACGGCTGTCCAGTGCTTCCAGGTTTTCCATGGCGGTCTAGCTTCGATTGACTCATGATTTCAACTAATGAAATTTCTAAAATCTCCACAAAACCTCTTCTGAAAAACAATGTATATTTTGCTCAAAATTAATAATCACAGGGTTTGAAAGAGGAAAATAATATATTGATTGTTGAGAATTATATAACAACAACAATTAAACATCTATAATACTGTTGTAATCAAATGAATTTTTATTATGACAAGTATATAAACCTGCTCCATGTTTATCCTTGATGATTGTAAAGGAATCAATCACTTGACCTTTTCTTTCCTTTAAAAATGTTAAAAATAAACACAATAAACGTTAATTATGAAATACAGTTAAGCTGAATCATTCATTGTAAAAACTATAAAAGTTCTGATCAAAAGCAAATGATATTTAATCTTAAGAGTTAAATGCAACTGTTTTGTTTTATGAAGGTTAGTTCTATTAAATCGTTGTTGATCTATAGATTTGGTGTTTACTGTTGAGTTGGCTTCCGAGAACTACAACGGAGTCTCCAGAGGCCTTAAAGGAGCCGAAGATTTCCAGCCAATCAAAACACGATGGAGCTTTCTAGAGTATCAATGTGGCATACTACTATTAGTCAGTAGCATAAGATGTTCTTTAGCGGATTGGCCAATATATAATGTTGATTTAACAAATGCTAATATCTGTAAATACCTGTGATTTTCTGTACACTTTGATTCTTACCAAATAAACACTTCTCCAGCTTTTCTTCTGTCTTCTGATTTGCGACGGGGAAGTTCAGCATTCTAGTGTCATAGTCGTAACCCGTATTCTACGTTAATCAAGTAGCGAACTTAACAATTACCCTATCAATTATGTAATTTATATATTATTTCGAGTTGATTATCATTTATGTGAATAAATCGATAGATTATAACATCCTGACTAGAAAATAGAGTATGATATATCTTACATCATAAAGTCATGAAGTACGAAACAGAATATTTCAGTGAACAACATTCAGAATAGTTTTCACTAGTAAAAGTGTAGAACAGAAACTGTTCCTTTTGTAAAGGTTTATATCGTTCGCATAATTGAATAATTACAACTTACCAGAATGTTAGGAAGCTCTTATAACAAAAAGGGCTAAATGATTGACTCAAGCATCTCATGTGTCACATAAAATGATCATATAAATCGAGCTGATTTTGTCGAGACAGGTTAGCCTAGTTTTGATCATGGTTTGATAGGAACAATTTTGAAACTTTCATTTACACATAAATAATTAACTAATTAATTGAAGGTTTATTCTAAGTTCAAGCACTTCTTGATAGAATTCAAACTGTTCATTATCAGTAATCGATTGATGTTTAGTTGTAATAAATAAGAACTAATCATTTTTACATAAATATTACTAAAAAGGATAACAATGAGTTTGTCGGTATCATTACCAAGGTTTGGCATGATAATTTCGAATAAATTGAGCATGGGATAGATTTAAATAAAGTCAGAACAAATATTGATGCAGAATAATATGAATTCATTGTATTTCGTAGTTTCTCATCAGCTACTTACAGCCAAATATGTATTAGAATTTTACATATATATATATGGAGCACATACATTGGAAGAACCGAGAGAAGAGTACATGTTCTCATTTATGAGCATGTTCCAAAGAAACTGAGGATGTGAGGGACTAGGGCTGTCAACAGTGTAATAGCTCAGCATTTACTTCACACCGCGTATACCATTGACATTCCTCATGCTTTTGAAATTAGTTGCAGACAAAGAAATACGGCTTCTCCCCGTTTAGCCGAAGCGATCGTGATAAAAAAAACTCAAACTGGATCTATGTATTCAAAAAGAGACATTAATAAACTTATTACTTCCCTGGTAGTCCATATTTTTTTGGTCATTAGTTTTGTTTTGTTAATGTTTACTTTGAGTTATATTCTTCTTCCATTATTGAATACTTAAACCACCTCTTCACTCATACATTTCCACTCACTTGATTCTCTTAAATTATGTGAACTCTTCAAAATCTATTCAATTATTATGTAACCCATCTTATCAGTTTTGAATTCCATGAATCGTATGTAAATCCTTCATTACTTCTAAAATTATCACACAATTTATCTTATCTGTCTTTGAACTCCACTCAACTATTACATCACCATCCTTAATGTTTCTTTGATTCTAACACCAAATAACCTCTGACCTGTTTTTGCATATATATATATGTATATAGTTATCATTGATAACCTTTGTAATTCCAATCCTTTACGTTCACTTATGTCTATTGTTCCATACTATTTCTTACTTCAATGTAAAATTCTAATACATATTTGGTTGTAAGCAGCTGATGAGAAACCACGAAACATAATGAATTCATATTATTGTGCATCAATATTTGTTCTGGCCTTATTTAAGTTCATAACGGGAACTAATTGCGTGTAATTGGACGGTTTGTTATGAGGTAAACTAATATTTTTGTAACAACTAAATGAGTAGAAAAACTAGATTTTCTGACGTTTCGTAACTCAATGGCAGCTACTTCTTTTCAATCTTGAACTGTTTAGATCTGTTTTTATGGTTGATCGCATATAATATTCTTGCATTGTTTCCTTAGTACTATTTAAACTTGAATTAATTTCGATTTGATTATTTATTCTCTGAAGAAGTGGCTTACACCGAGTCACGAAACATCAGGAGATCTAATTTTTCTACTCATTGAGATATTACAAATATATAATTTTATTTATAAAATAATAACAAGTTATTTTTTGAGCGCTTAGTCATTATTCAAAGGGCACTGCTGATGAGTCCCATAATAGGACGAAACGGCCGTCCAGTGCTTCCATGTTTAGTATGGTGTGTTAGCTTCAATTGACTCATAATTTCAACCACTGATATTATTCAAACTGTTGGTTTTCCAAACTTCAGTGATAATATTACAACTGGAGTTCATAATTATAGAACGTCAAATTTTTACTCTCATTAGATAAACTTTCCAGTAACTGAAATTCGCAGGGAACAAAACGTTTGTTGTGTGTTTTTGGAGATTTTCCGTTTATCATTGAAGCATAGATTAAGCTTATGTATGAAATCAAATAGTACAGTTGGTGTTTATAAAGTATGCTCTTGAATATTTTTACACATATAGATTTTCTTTGAATAATACATTCTATATTTGATTAGTTGATAAAAGATCATTTTTATGGTAGGAAATAAACAAAACTTATTTTGCCCATTGAACTGTTTACTGTGATCGAACACATCAATGGCAATTCAGTTAAAAAGTATTTTCCTTTTGGTGCAACATCCCTTGCATAAAATAAACATAATAATAAACTTCCTAGTATGTTATCCATATGAGTCAAAGTTTGATACAGTCAGTTAATAAAATTTCAACATGATTTATTAGGGGATCTATCTACAGTTCACTTCATATTACCAGGGTTATTTCAAGTTGATGACGAAATGATTGTTTCATAATTCCAACTTGATAAATCAACCGATAGGCATCCTACTTTGTTATCTGGAAATACACATAAGAAATATTAATAATTTCAGTATTTAAATAAATAAGAGAATAACATTTACATTTTCCACTGAAATTTGTTCAATTTCTAAGTGAGTAACGTTATGTATCGTCATTCTAGTAAATCCGAAATCAGTTGTTCGAAATGCTGACCAAGGTTTTCCACCATATATAAATGTATCTTTACCTTCATTTGATCCAGCAGCTCCACTAACAATATGTATTGGAGCGTTTGGATTATTGTATGGATTTTGACTTGTTGTAGAATTACAAACCTGAAATATGAACATTTGATTAGTGATAATACTGAAAAATTATTCATTATTATTGATTTAATCAATTTTATTTATTTGGACTAATAAATATTGGTACAAAGGTGCACCAAACAGATATGCGGCACATAAAGTATCCGATTTATGTCAGGGCTGAGATACTGTACGGGTGCCCACACCGAAGCAGGTGGTCTTCTTAGGTGGCCACACCTGCAGCCTTCGACCTAAGGGAGTGGAGCGACGTCACGAGATGCAGTCCCATGGTAGCAGGTGACTAACAATTGGTCCATACGTCATTTATTGCCTCACGATCCTGGAGCCCATGTGCACCATTGGTTTGGAATCGGGGTTTACCAACTACCCTAGATGAACCCTCCATGTCCACCAACCCGATTAAAGTGCTGGACATTCTATTTTCGTCCTCTTAATTTCATAAACAACATTAATAACGCGAGAAGGCATTGAGTAGGACTTCACTGGCAGTGGCTGTATACGCGTGGTCATGTGAGAGCATTTGGAGAGAGAGAGCTGACTCTCCCCACCCTCGGTCGTACCAGGGCATTCGGGGACAGTTTAATCATAACTTGGATTTAATTAAAGTTATGAGACAAGAGCCATATGATAGATTATCAGACAAATAAATGGAACAGTTTATCCAAGTTATACAAGAAGTATTAAGTATACAATATGTTAAAAACATTGTCATTGGATGTAATATGCTAAAGATGTAACCATAGGAAATAACTACACGTAACTAAGATATTTATTCAATAATATTGAGTTGATTATTGAATATATTGACTAGTTTATATACACACATCAAAGAGTTTAATGAAAATAAGTAAATGTAATTGTAGATTACATCATGTTTATGAGTAATATTTGACTAGTGTTCAGGATGGTTGGAAGAAAATTAGGGGCGGCCAAACCAAAATGTGGCATCAGTGCTTGGACTCACTAACTTCTGGTTTGAGCCATGTTGGTAGATGCAGACTACTTGGTTTTCCATGGTGTCTAGCTTTTATTGACTTATGAATTAAATTACTAGATTACTACAATCTCTACAAAACCTCTTTCTGATAGTGATAAAATACATTGTTAATGAGCAGTTGGTTATTTGTAATTTATGCTGAAGAATGGTTACTAACATGAAACATAGATCGAGTATTTCTTGGCAATGAATTACAACCGCATGACCTGTATATATAGACTTACGGTTCTGTTGTAAACTGGCCAAAATCTCTCATATGAATGTTCATGACCAGCAATGATTAAATCCACACCATACTGATAAAATAAGCTTTCCAATCCCATAAGATATACAGTTTTATGATGGTCAGGTGATATGTCAAATCCGGTGCGTACAATATTGTTTTCAAAATCACAATGCATTGGATCAAAATTATTTGAACAATACATTGGTCTGTGACCTATTACAATAATCCATGGATGATTTTTTCGATTTTCTGGTTTATTCGCTTCCTTGAAAGAAATAAGCGCGACAAAACTGTCTGTCAAGTAAGTATGAAGAGTGAAATTATAAACTTATGAAAATCAAACATGTGTATGATACACAAAACATTTCACTTCAAAACTCCCACAAATGGAACACGAAACATATAATTACTGTTTAAATCAACATGTTAAAGGAGTGGTAACTACGTCCTGTAAATCTAACAATCTTACAATGAATCTAAGAGAATTGACATATTTGTTTTTTGATTGGCTTTCAGGGTTCCGATGAAACTAAGCCCATGATTTTGGAATGTTCAAATTTTTGTAGTTTACATCAGAGGCTGCTTTTATTTAGGCAAACTTTGAAAACTAGGAAGTGATAGACCGCTATGTCATTCTAATATCAGACTAGTTCGAAATGTGTATATATGATCTACCATGGACCGAATTCATCTAGCTCACCAAACTTGCATCTAACATTTTACATAATCAACTACAATCAATTCAAGATGTTGTGCTATCGTCTTCTATTTATTGCAGTAGTAAACTAACTCATAGCTACTGTGTCTGAATCGTAACAATCGTAGCTATCCATTACAACTTTTAGAATCAAGTCTCAAAATTAGTCACCGGTAAATACATGATTATTGTCAATGCAGAAGGATTATGAGAATTGTTCATATAAACAGTTCATATAAACGTACAAATTTACTAACTAACTTGCAGAGAATCAAGTCCTCTTGAAATATTTGTAATTGTAGTAATTTGAAATGAATCTTATAACGATTATATTGAAATATTTCTAACTTTAATGACCTACTGTTTTACAGATTTATTTGTCATTACATGGATACCTACTTTACATATTACTATTTACTATCAATTGAGTTATTCATAAAAATACATTAACTTTCTAAACAAAAAACCTACTTAATAGTTGAATTCATGAGTCAATTAAAGCTAGACCATCGTGAAAAATCTGGAAACACTGAACGACCGTTTCATCCTAGTATGGGACTCTTCAGCAGTACGCATTCACGATCCCGCCTAACGAGATTCGAACGCGAAAGCTTAACTTCTGGACCACTGAGCCGGCATTCAACGGTGTTAATGTCTAAATTCAATCAATCCACAGTGTCCATGTTGACAACAGTGTGAGTAGTATAATTTATTCACTTTTCAAAATCCATATAATTAAAAGATTCAGACACACCTGAGAGATTTTTTTAATTTAATTAACTAATTCAAGTAAAAAGACCAGAGTTATATTTTAAAAGGTTCGTTACTCCATTGTGAATTTCTTTCAACGACAAACTGTTTGATCATAATTTTAATAATCATTTTACTTTTCTAATAGTATTGTGAATCAAACGGATAAACTACCGATTTACAAACATGGTGGTACACCAAAATACTATGTCAGTTACAGACAGTGAATTGTTCAAGTGTTTAAAGTAGCATGGAATTTACTCATCTGTAAGAAATAATTTTATCTCATTTATTGGTAAGGCAGATATTTATCTTTGTAGACTTGATCTTCTCATGTGTTGTCATTAGTCAATACTGTACAGCTGTCAACGTATACATAAAAAGTCTATTCATCTATATTACGTGGTTTTTTTATCGACATAGTTCTATAACCACATTGCAAATTCGATGGAGAGAATCAAATTAAAACTTAAACATAAACACGATCGCAAATCAGGTTATTTATTAGTGTGCATGACTAAAGTTGTGTAATTGACTATCTTAGTAACTAATTCCCTCAGTATTCAGTGACATATATATATCAATATATATATGTTCAAGCAAAATTCCATAAACTGACCGCTAACTTACTAAGCATAAAATTCAGAACATATGTTTCTTGGTGTAAAATTAATACCTATTCAAATAATCATAATCCAATTTTAAGTGTGCCATTTCTCAAAACTGTGATATCCTAAAGTTTATGGCGAGACTCTAAATTATGGACGAGCCAATCAGAATTAGGATAAGGGTTTTAAGATTTTGGCGCGAAATTCACTCATCCATTTGGCCAAATAGCGTCTTGGTATTTTAGCTGATGTTAGTTGGTGATGAGAAACCGTAAATTTAATTCCTAACCCTAACCATCCATTGTGAATCATAATATTTATTCTTCAAACTGCTTTATAACCATCATTTAAACTTAGTAAGTAGGTAAACACTCTCAGAGTCAGTTTAGCGTCACTCGATTGTCGTCCATAAATTATAGTCTCACCAAATAATTTATTTCATATATGATGATATTTGGGAATACATTAATGTCAATTTCAAAAAGTTAAACTTTTGATAGAATTAATATTTTCGTTTTAGTTATAGTTACTGACTATTGTATTTTAATGAGTTAAAGTGTTATAGATTTGTGTGACGAAACCTGTTTTAATTTATATTTCACTCTAACATTATTGCAATTCAGGATTCACATTATGCTTCTAAATAAACTAGAATGCTTTTAATGATTTAGCCCAAAGCCATTTACTAAGTATTATTCAATATATATTTTATAGACAAACTACAATTAAATTCATTTTGTATTGTTTGTTTGAATCTTTCCATTGATGTTTAGAACTGCAATTGGTCAGTCTCTTATTGGCATGTATGTATCCTGAGTGGATCACCTCATACTGCCTTAAGTCACAAGCATTATAAGCAAGGATAGATGGAAGCTAGCAGTAGAATCCTGGACGTGCATTTCATCCTATTCGGGAATAGTCATTTGGGTTGGTTGTTCAATGATTTATCAATACTAAACTGAATTTCTTATGAATGATTAATTATCTTGACTATTTCAAACAAGTTTGTGGGTCGCATTTGTTGTAAGCTTTCTAAAAGCATCACCGTAGACAAAATAAGACACATAGCTTAATGACATATTATAGGAGATTAATCTTACTTGTAAATCTTTAATCAACCAATCATATTGCATCACTAATGTTTTCCATCCATAAAATAAAAAGTAATATAATTCACTAGAAAATGCCACAATATGCGCAGGTCCAACGTTAAAACTAAAAGTGTATAAAGTATGACAATACGTTTCTCATAACAGTATCCATCATGAAGGCAAATGAAAATAAATTAAAAATGTGTTGTTAGTTCATTTCGGAAGTCATTCAATCTCTTGAAATTATAAGAATTCAATTATCTTTATAAGTTTTTCTTGTAGTGTAGAAACCTAATGAAAGCATCATAACTTAGTCGACTTTTATGCGTGTTTCTTTTTTTTGCTGATATATTTTCAATTACTTTTACCGTCTTATCATCGCTGCAAAAAGTAGCTGACCTTTACACATATGGATCATCCAAAGTGTAATGAGATGTCTAGTAAAATCTGGAAAAAACTCTATCAAAAGCAACATATCAGAATAATTTCATTGAATGCCCACATCTTGATATTCGGATCATAAGCTTGGTGTGCCTGTAGCTCTTCTAGAGTTACTACCGGTCCCAAGCCCTGGTAAAGGAGGAGGGTTGGGGATGGGGTTGGCGACCTCATCCCGTAGAAAACTAGCTCGCTAAAAAGACGCTAACCAGAAAAAATACTTCAAACCATTTAAACCCTGTCCTTGGAGTTAGAAGGTCTTCATTTAGAATAATTATGACGCTTCATGGTGAAAGCCGAGTTCCTTCTGAAGCCACGAGGCCGATGCGCCTTCTAACAACCAGAGCAAGAACGTTTATAGGCACGTGAATATTGCATGCTTACATCTTGATATTTCGATCATAAGTTTTGTGTGCGCTGAAAAACTGTTTTGCCAAAAAATTAGTAAAAAATAAATCTTCATACATGTGTCAAATATTGGTTTTATTAGTAAAGCTTCTGTCTATTTCATTTAAAAGATACATGAATGATCACATAGTAAGCTTATTTATATTTTGCTAAATATTGTATGAGTTTGTTAAAATGATAATATCATCTGAATAATAGTTCAGGTGGCCTGCTTGAATATCTGGGTTACCTGTTCCTGTTATCTGAATATTTCAACAAGTTATCTGTTTTTGCTTGTTTTAGCACATCATAATGTCCATTAACCACATAACCTATGTAGGCACGTTTATGAAAGGTTTACGACTTCTCACTGCACCGGAATGCCCTGGTACGGTCGATGGTGTGGAGAGTCTGCTCTCCCTTTCCAAGTGCTCTCACTTGGTCACGCGTATATAGCCACTATCAGGTAAGTCCTACTCAATGCCTTCTCGCACCAGGAGTGTTGTTTACGAAACTGAGAGTACAAAAAGCGAACGCCCGACGCTTTAATCGGGTTGGAGTATCTTGATTCCAAAGCAGTGGCGTGCATGGGCTCCAGTATCCTGAAAGCTGCCATGGGACTGCATCTCCTCACGTTGCTCCTCTGCCTCATGGATCAGACCTTTCGGTCAAAGGCTCTGAGTGCGGTCCCCCAACGAAAACCACCTGCTTCGGTCTGGGTGTCCGGGCAGTATCCCAGCTGTCACACAAATCACATTATTTATGTGGCGCATGTGTATTCGGTGCCCCTTTGTACCAATATTTATGTGTTCAAATAATAATAATAATAATAATAAGTGCTCTACTTCTGTAGCATCAACATATTTGGAACATCAAAATAAACGTATAACTAATTGGTTTCAAAGGTTTAATTTCTGTTTTAACCGGACATTAATGAAACATTGAAAAAAAGTGATATAAATTGGCAAGTTGTCCATTTACATTGATAAATTTTCTTAGTACTATTAGATAGCAATATTGATTTACCTATAAAATTGTGATTCGCCATCACCTCCAGGCATTGTGAATCTTGCTTTGTAATTTGAGAAATTGCTAAAAAAGAAGCGTTTATTAAAGAAGAAAATACTAATTAGCTGTTAAATCATGATAATCTCTTTCTTCATTTTAAGGAATTGTTGTCAATTGACTTTCTATCAACTAGTAATCGTGCACTTAGTACAAAAACTTTTCTTTTATTTACCTAGTATTGTATTAACAGGACTAGGAGACAACGGCCACATTCCTACAATTCAGGAACATATGGGACTTAAAACAACTTTCTGTCAACCAACATCGAAGTCAGAATCTTCAATACGAACATCAAGGCAGATCTACTGTATGGATCTGAAACGTGGAGCAGTATCACAACCATTATCAAAACATACAAGTATTGATAAACACTTGTCTACGCAAAATACTCAACTGGTGTTCATCGGATACCATCAGGAACAGCCTTCTGTGAAAGAGAACAAACCAAATTTGAGCTGAAGATGGAATTAGGAAATGACTTTCGAAGTGGATAGGATATACATTGCGGAAATCCTTAAACTGCATCACGAGGCAATCTGTGACTTGGAATCCTGAAGGGAAACGGATGAGAGGATGACCAAAGAACACATTGCGTCGATAATTGGGAGCAAATATGAGAAGGATGAATAGCAACTGGAAAGAACTGGAGGGGATTTCCCAAGACAGGTTTGGATGGGGAGTGCAGTTGGGTGGCCTATATTCATCCACGAGGGGTAGCATGCGCAAGTAAGTGAGTAATTTTCTAAACAGAATACATTACTGTCAGTATTCATATTGGTAAAATTATATAACAAGGCACTGATGCATATGACTTTATGCACAACCCATTGATACTATAAAAGTAGTTTGTCTATTTTTTAACAGTTGGACATTAACACCATTGGATACCGGCTCAGTGGTCTGTAGGTTAAGCGTTCGAGCGCGAGACTGAAGGTCCTGGGTTTGAATTCGGCGAGCGAGATCGTTGATGCGCACTGCTGAGGAGTCCCATATTAGGACGAAACGGCCTTCCAGTGCTTGCATGTTTTCCATGGTGGTCTAGCTTCAATTGACTCATGAATTCAACTATAAAGTTAAAAGAGCCCAATGTAAACTACTGTCAGATGTAGTTGACTTAGTTAAATCAGTTTTTCAGCAGTCGATAACAAAACCAAAATTTATATTTCGAGTACGAGATGTAAAAAACGTACATATTCATGCTTAATCCTACTTAATCGAGAACATTTTTGGCGTTGCAGTGTGGATTTTATTTTCACATCTGATTGAGAAATTATATGTCAGCCAGTTGAAAATTGTTTAGCTCAGCACTGTTCATTCACTTATTTCATGTTTTCACCAAGTTAATATGTTAGTGTACAATGCGATGGATTTCAAAATGAATTCCAATTATTGAGATCAAAAATTGTCATACTGTGGTATGTGCTACTTATGTCCACATGAGTAGTATATAACGCTAGTCAGAAATAGAATGTCTGGAAGCAGAAGGTTGAGAAGATGGAGGAGGGAAGAATTGGAACAGAAAGCAATTCGTATGAAAATGCAGGAACAATGAAGTCTGTGACACTTAATAAACATTTTGCATATGAAGTATTTGAGTATGGTCTTTCTATTTTATCAAGTAACTCTGGTTGTCCTCACCTGTGTTCTCCTTCATCAAAACACTACTGTTTAATTTTCTTTGTAGAAAACTAAGAACCTAATTGAAAATAAATTAAACAAAGTTTGTTCACTTACTAAGCAGCTTCATGGTTACCAACACATGTCATATAAGGAACTTTTGATGCAATTGGTTGTATATTACGCATAAATTGATCACCAACTCTTGCGTTATCCTGAAATTTAGTTTCAACATGAAAAACATGTATCAAATTATTGAAAGACTTTTCAACGTTACTTTTATAAGAGTAAGAATATTCAATTGCGACAAACAAAGGTTACAATTACTAACAATGTAGTGCAGAAATTGATGTTAAGCATTTTTATCAAGAATTTACTATACTGACAAAGAATATCTTTTTGGCTGAGTATCATCAGCGGAGAAACTGTAAAGAGTTAAGGGCAGCTGTTTGTACTTTTGCTGATCATGGTGATTAGAGATGCTTTTTAAGTTAAATTTAATATCTTAACCTAAAAAATAACATGTCTTTATAAAGTTTACTATTGGACAATGTCATATTACCATAAATTTTTCATATCTTTCCAGTAATAAAATGACATCTAGTTTTGTTATCCCTACATCTACATTTTCGACTCATTAATCAAATGAATGAAGTACATATCTACCAGTCTATCAAATTGATTTTATTTTCTCATATTGAAATACTAAAATTCAAGGAATGAATCTTAGAAATATGTTATCAGTAATTTCAATAGTTGAGGTCATGAGTCAATTGAGGCTAGACCACCATGGAAAAATTGGAAACACTAGGCGGCCGTCTCGTCCCATTGTGGTACTCCTCAGTAGTGCGTATCCACAACCCCGCGTCACGAGATTCGAACTCAGGACCTATCAGTCTCGCGCGTGAACGCTTAACCTCCTGACCACCGAGACAGTATCTAACGGTGTTAGTGTCTAACTTCAACTAGTCCACGAAATCGGGCGACGCATCTCAACTAATGAAAATACTACAATCTCCACAAAACCCCTTCTGGTAGTTATCAGTATTTGTTATAGTGTCGGTTGCTATGTTAAGCACACATTGACTATTCTAGCTTACACATTTTGACCTTCTTCATTAATCACTTATCAACCTTGACTGATTTTATTTGAGCGTATGTGTGTGCATCTCTCATCTTACTCATTACATGTCTGTAACTTATTTTTTTGTGACTAGAAATATCGATTAACGCTTGATTAAATCGAGTTGGCTCACACGCATTCTCCACTGCGCGTTATTTTGCTTCTCCCACTTCTCTTTACTTCTTTCACATCGTCTCCCCGATTGCCAGATCAATGAGTTTACAAAATATATGTATTCAAAATTTCATTGTCGCATTTAACTTATTTAACTCCGTCATTTACTAACGCGATTCAAGTCGTTCATTATATACGAGGATTGGCGACATATATATTTCGACAGCAATCATTCGATAACGATCATTCGTCTGATCTAACTGGAGTCAGATATCTAGTAGCCACTGAACATTTTTGTGAATAGGTAAGTTCATGAACATTTACTAGCGGAAGTTTTAAGTTAAACCTAGGAATGATTTTGTCAGAAAGTGAAGCACATTGTTCTAATTTCTTTCCCAGAATAAAGAAGCTATTTGTATAGTTGGTAGATAAACTAACATACAAAAGATTTCTATTCAGCTATATTACTTCTAAATATGATTTCACTCATTAACGATCATTACTAAAGTTATTTTCCAAGGTTTATACGCGTTTTAAATAATTTAGCCTAGAAACTACCATTAAAATATAATTAACAAAGTATACAAATTATATAACGAGCATTATTCATGTACATAAACCTTTTCTGGGCAATAATATGGAGCACTTAATGGACATTTACTAACAAATATAGAAGTGACCATTGGTTATACTCTTGGATAGTTCCACAGGCTATATCAAACTGGAAAACGACATTTTTCTGAAATCTCATGAACACCGTTGGCATATGATTTTAAAAATCTTCAAATAGTGTGCTATATTCCGTCTAGAGATGCTTGTTTACCAGTATTACTCCACTAAAATACGACATCGGTCTTTAGCCAGTGTTTATGTTATTAATAGGTTGAATGTTAGTTACTTACTGAATCCATATTATAGGCGAAATCACCAACATGTAATACCACATCATAACTATTTAAATCTTTGACTTGATGAATTAATTCGGGTAGTGAAAGTGCATCAGCTGTCCCCATATCTCCATAAACTGCTATTTTAGGTGACCAATAAGGATGAGATGGGAGAGCACGAAATTTCAAAACATCTGACCAACCATCTAAACTACCACATTTATAATCTGCAAAGCGAAAAATATATGATAAGCCCAAAGACTATCTGAGTTTGACACCTGACACTGCTACTTAAACTGAAAAATCATTTTAGTCCTCAGTTCATTACTAAGTCATTTGAAATAAAATGATATCGATTACTTCATTGCTTATGCTTGTGTGCTAGTAAAGAGGTAGCTTATGCAGAAACTTTACTAATTACGATAAAATTCATCTAGTACAACTAATCTCCTCTCTGCTGAGAGGAAATTTTACAGTCAGAATAGTATCGACTCTTTCAGGGATGTTACTAATTTGTTGTCTATCAGCTAATGAATTCTCATAGATTTGGGATATTAACTAGCGAACGGCAGCCATTCCTAAATGTGTCTAGTCTGTTGGTCGTGCATTGTCAGACAAACTATAGAGTATGCTCTTGACTTTAGTTTTAAGTGTTTCTAGGCGATAAGCAATAAATCAAAAACCAAAGTTTCATGCTAACTATTATTTGAAACCTCTAAATCACAATCGTACTAGATAAAAAGTGGCATTAAGTTTGAAATTTCATTGCTTTCATCCTAGTAAACCTTTATTTAGAAAGGTTTTTATTACTGTTTGGGGTCGCTTACTCCAGGCCTAACTTTCTTCCTCTACCCAGGATTGAGATCACAATAATCCTGCTAAGGCTTAGGACAGAATTACTTATTTTAGGAGATTAGGTTCGAATAATTCATGATTTGTCTAAACTCAGTGTTGTAGCTATGAGAAATCGACGACTCAGCATTTTTCAGGAGAGCTATGAATAAATGTTGTCAGGTATGATTCATTTATAACAAAGAGATATATATTCAGAAAGGTTATCATATTAACAAACTGTGGATGTCAGTAAAGAAAAAAATCCTTTTTATTTATAGAAGGATTTTTAAACTTACAATAAGTTGTATTACCAATTAAATCGGATAAGATCACTCGATGTATATACATTTTGCGTTGTTCACGTCCTCCATCAATAAACTCTTTAACGTAGCCAGTACTTTTCATATTTAACAGCATAGTACCATAGAGTACAGTTGAACTCTCTGTGTTTTCTTGTGTAACCCAAGTTACACTTATGGTGGATGGTTGCTCTATGATACAAAAATACAGTTATTTATATGGTGTTAAACATCTTCACAAAAATGATTCATCAAAATGAACAATTGAATCATGATCATAGAAACAGTTAACACTGTTTCAGTGCCTAGCTATACAGAGGTGTTATACAACATTTCCGAATGATTTTTATTATATATAAATTGGTTTACTATCTAAAACCTCCGTTTGTATGTACTAAAATTCCAACTTAGATGCACATTTCTATTGAAAGTAAAGTAATCTAAACGACATCTATCAACGTCAAAGATTGACAATAACTTTAAATAAATTGATCATTTAGTATAATATTAATAACAATGGAGATGGACACGCAATTTTGTGGATTGGTCGAGGTTGGACATTAACACCGTTAGATGCCGGCTCAGTGATCTAAAGGTTACGCGCTCGCGCGCGAGACCAAAGGTGCTGGGTTCGAATCTCACGAGCAGGATTGTGGATGCGCACTGCTGAGAAGTCCCACAATAGGATGAAACGGCCGTCTAGTGCTTCCAGATTTTCAATCGTGGTCTAACATCAATCGGCTCATAATCTCAGTTGAAAACATAATAATCTCCACAACATACACGAGGGAAAAATCAAGATCGTCAAATACAACATGGAAAAGAGTAACCTAATAAAACTTTATAGAGAAGCTCTGGAAAAGTTAGAAACGTTCAGTTAGCTGGATAGCATCACCGATGAACGCGGAGGATCTGAAATAGATGTGAAAGTAATGATTAGCAAAGTAAGGGAGAAATTCTTACTGTTGAAAAGCATATGGAACTCAAAACAACTATCTGTCAACCATTGTTAAAGTCGGAATCTTCAATATGAGATTCATGACAGTTCTACTGTTCTGAACCGAAATCATTGAGAACCAGAGTGACCAATGAACACACTGCGTTGGGAATCGGAAACACACATGGAAAGGATTAATAGCAACCAGAAACAACTTGAAAGGATTGTCCAGGACAAAGTTGGACGGAGGATACTGGTAGTTGACCAACGCTCCTGCTCGAGGGGCAACAGGCATAAGTAAGTAAGTAAGTATTTATTTATCTGAACACATAAATATTGGTAAAAGAGAGCGCCAATATATATGCGCCACACAAAACAATGAGAATTCTAAGAGAAAGAAAAAGAGGTAAGGAGCGTGAAAAAAAGAGAACAATAACGAGCAGATTAGTGTAAGGTAGCGTAGTAATATTGATAGTAATAATGAGGGAACGGAAAGGTACGATCAGAAGAAATCTCTCAGTTAAGGAAGATACAACCACATTTTTTATGAAGAAAGTAAAAGAAGGTTACAGCAGGATCGCCACTGGCTTCTATTCTGAGCCATATCTGATAACGTCTCTAGCCACTGTGTAGCACCATCTCTCGGACCCCAACCAGGGAGTCGTGAAGGACCAACACAAGCCAGTCCTTTGCAGCTTTCTTTCATACCACGACACCATGTCATGCACTGACCACCTCTCCGCTTCTTCCAACCAGTCCCAGAGTCGGCAAATAATGCATGACGTGGAATTCTCTGAGACGACATTCGTTGAACATTTCCAAGCCACCGAAGTCGGTGTTTCAAGATGGTGACACCGATCAGACTATTGACTCTGCGCCCGAACACACGATGCCGAAGCTCTGCATTACTGACATGGTGTTGCCACTGAATGTCAGCAAACCTTCGGAGACAGTGATGATCGAACACAAAGAGTCGTCTAACATCCTCAACTTGCAGATGTCAGGTTTCACAAGCATAGAGCAAGACTGCTCTCACGGACGCGTTGTAGATCCGACCTTTTACAACCAGACTAACATCACGAAGGCGCTAAAGATGGCCCAGATTGGCATAAGCCGCTCTGGCTTTCATTATACGTGCATTGATCTCATCACTCAAGCCACCACCAGCACTTATGCAGCTACCCAGGTACACGAACTTCTCGACTACTTCTATCTGCTCACCATCCAGGGTGAGTACAGGATTAGAATCCTGCCAGTCTTGTAGAAGTACTTTGCACTTCGAAGGTGCAAAGCACATACCATACCTACGGACACTGATTGCCAACTGATTAAGTGCGGATTGCATGTCTTGGGCATTATCGCACAGTAAGACAATATCATCCTCATACTCAAGGTTGAGAAGTCTTTCTCCAGGCAACAGATCCACACCACCATCACTTACATCCATCAGAGCTGTTTCCAGAATGTCGTCGATGGCAAAGTTGAAGAGGAATGGTGAGATTGGGCAACCCTGCCTAACCCCACTGCTCGAATGGAACAATTGATAGAGGTGGTACATACCAGATCCAGCTGCTGCTTCCAACTCATTAGCACGCTTTGACCACCAGGCTTCTCGGTCCTTACGCAAGTTTTGCCCACTTTCCTTACGTAACATCCTTCGTTTATGGTCAAACTCACGGTCACCCGGAGTAGACCGACGGGCTTCAGTGAGTTGTAAGGAGCCTGAAGAAACCCAGTGCTTATAAGCCGGACGTATCGCGAACCCACAACTGACTGTACCCGACATTTTCATGGCGTCATGCAATTGCAACCAATGCTCATCTATACTTTTCGGTGGAGTGGTAGCTAGCCTAGAGGCTAGCTCGGTTCGATACTTACTTGCAACAGAAGCTGCAACCAGCTTACTAACATCAATCCGTTGGTGGCGGTCACTTCGTTGTCCACTGAAAAGTAAGGTAAGATTGGCGCAGACCAAGGCATGGTCAGAGTCTAGATAGGTACTCCAAAACGAGCGGCAGTCTTGTACACAACCACGCCAGTGGTAGCTGATCGCGATGTGATCAATCTGAGTCCAGGCTTGGGATGCAGAGGGAGGACGCCAGGTGGCACATCGGCGATGACTGTGTCGAAAGTTAGTGCTAGCCAGAAACAGGTTGTGGTCTGTGCACAGTTGCAGTAGACGGTACCCGTTATCTGACCTGCGACCAACGAGTCCCCATCGGCCACCTAAATGACTCTCTTCTGTGCCTAGACGCTCAACCTAAGCATTCAAGTCTCCGGCTAGTGCTACAATATCCGTCGAACGCACTTTCTGGAGAAGAACAGATAACTGGTGGAAAAACTCATCCTTGATTGCATCCGGGCTGCAATCTGTCGGGGCATAGGCGGAGATGACGAAAAGACATCGTTTCTCACACCGATTTCTTCTCACTTTGATGGAACTTTCTAACCTAACAGCACATAACCGACTGTTAATGAAGATCCAATCGATTAGTGCTGCCTCAGCTCTAGCGCTTAGTGCGACAACAACGCCAGCAAGACCAGACAAAGATGTCACAGGGTCTCCGGATAAGCGCACGTAAAACAAGCTTTTCGAAGCGACAGATGGAGAGCGAATTTGTAGTACTTCGCCAGAGTCTTGAATACGGGTCTCGGATAGACAACAGATATCGATATTAAGACTTTCCAAAGACATAGCCAGCCCTATCTGTTGTCCAACCTGCATAAGTGTGCGAACATTGAAGGCAGCCAGTTTGAATGGTGCACGTGGTTTCAGAAAAACTGCCTCAGCACTCATATTCAGTGGTAGCATACAATTTTCAACCGGACAGTGATTCGAGAACGCTTAGATACAGTCGAACTTCCACCAAAGACGAGCCGCTGTGTAAGTATAAAAGAGGGTGAATAATGTGGTAAATAATAATAATAATTTGATTGTTAGTTGAAGCAAGTAAAGTAGTTTCCATAGATATAGAGAGTTCATTATTTGCGTGTGGGCTGCGATACTGCCGAGGTGCTCAGACCGAAGCAGGTGGTTATCTCAGGTGAACACACCCCGAGCCTTTGACCTAAAGGTCTAACCCACAGGGCAGTGGAGCATCGTAAGGAGATGTAGTCCCATGATAGCCGGTGACCAACGATTAGTTCATACACCATTTGTTCCCGCAGGATACTGGAGCCCATGTACATCATTGGGTCGGGATCCGGTTAAAGCGCCGGACATTCGCTTTTCGTCCTCTCATTTTCGTAAACAACACCCCCGCCATGAGAAGGCAATGAGTAAGACTTCCCTGGCAGAGGTTGTAAGTAAGTAAATATAATCAAATAGATGTACATCCATTCTTTGCGTATTTGTGTTTTTAAATTGACCCTCAAATATGCCTCATCTCAAAAAATAAATTGATTATATCTTGTTTTATTACATATTCATCTAAAATGTTTATTGTTAGTGTTATGAGGTTCTAAAACTATCTAACTCCTTCGTTATATGGACTTAATATATTGTTACTTATAAAATAAAGTGTCAGGAATGAATATACTTTTAGTTGAATTTTTACCTTAAAATAGCATTGAAATTTAAATCTGTCGAGTACTCAAGCTATTACTTCATAGAGACTCCTAAAGTAGGCTTAGAAAACTATTAATAAGAAGCTGATTGATAGATAGGTTACAATCCAAAAAACAATGATGTACTTACCTCCTAAAGCAATATGTATTTGCTCTGGTATCTGAGATTCCATATATCCGTATACATTCCAAGTTCTAACATGATACAAGTTAAGAAACAATGGTATAATAACTAGAATATACATTTTATACTAACACTATTATTAAGTTTATATCTTAATATATAGACATGATATTCATATATAAATGGATAAGTAAGATAACGAACTGAATGTGTAACAGCACATTTATATTCCAAGGTCATGTTTTATGATATATCTATTATTACTTACAATTCTTATCAATAATGTTTAGCTCTGATCATGTATGTATATAGACTTTGAACACTTCCTGTTTATCTATTGAAAAATAAACAGAGAATACTAGTTATATTTAGATAGAAACATAGATTTTGTTATTTGTTGAATTCTATTTGACTTCATACAACATGCGATTAAGTGACAAATAGATTATACGAAACTAAAAATATTCCTTTGAGCGTCAACTATTTCTAAAGATTATTAGAGAGGGCGTTTGTGGAGACTGTAGTGCCTTTTTAATGGTTGAAGCAAGATCACCATGGAAAACCCAAAAACACATGGAACGATCGTTTTGTCCTAGTATGGGACTCCTCAGCAGTGCGCATTTAATTATTTCCAAAGATTCACTGATAGATTTATCTATTTATTTATTTATCAGTGTGAAATGAAACGTGTAATTTTATTATCTCATGTTGTTCTTTTGATTTACTGTTTCGTTTTGAACTATCATCCAAAACTTATTATTGAATGTTCTAAATTTTTGTTAATTGCAAAGAATTCATCTACATGTTATTGTGAAGTCTTGGAAGTATGAATAATTCAAACTAACCAGTGAATAAATTCATTTGATATTGTCTACTTGGATCTTCCTATTGATGTTAAGAACTGAAATTGATCAGTCTCCTGTTGACATATGTGCATACTCTGCATGCTGCTATGATAATGTCCTAATACACAAGTATTGTGAGCAAAGATGTCGCAAACAAGTGACTATTAGAACTTAGTAGCCAAGTGGATAACGGGATGTCGTTTGAAGCGAACTGTACTGGTTTTAACTTCCGGAATAAACATCAATACTGCGATGCAAGTATATCCAGCTGACGAGTCCCTATTAGGACGGAACGTATGTCATGGATTCCACTATTACCTTTTACCATCTTTATTAAGTGAATAATCTGACTAATATTTGTGACCCTTGCACACACGCTACAGGGTAAACAGATTGCTGACAATTAAAATGACAGTTGTCTTTGGCTTCAACTAAAGAATCAGCTTCAGTTTTATAAGACTACAGTCGTTGTAGATGTTCACAAACTTGTGAATCATGTCACACGTTACCTTGCTCAAGTCGATTATACTTTTTATTTCCTAACAACATCTAAGAACTACTCATATACGGATGCTAGTTCCAAGTGCGTAGTGTCAGTGTCAGTGTCAGTTGGTGTTGATCTGTCACCCTACAACGAAATGCCGTCATTGTGTTAGCCGGTCTATCCGGATACACAAAATCAACCAACAAAACATCAAGCTGTGTTGGAGAATACAGCTAGTACAAATAAACGCGACCTTCGAGTGAAGCAAACACTCCATATCATCTTTCGCCTACGTCAATCGTTCTAGGTGTTGGACAGATCATTCATTATTGACTCACTATCCACAAGTGTATTTTAATCTGCCAGTTATTCGTCTGCATCCTAGATCGTATTTCCGGAGCGTGTGTGTGCGCTCGTTCACCACGTACTCTCTTCATCAGATGTCTGTAGCCTATTTTCCTGTTCAATTGAAGCGTATTAGAACAAGATAACAAGAGATTTGGAAACACATGTTTATTTGTCTGTGGATTGGATTATGTGGTTCAAATGTCTATATTCCTTTATCGGTTTGCGCCATATCTCGTGATGATGGCGTATGTGGTTTGCGTTTTGGTTTCCCTTTTCCTCTCTTCTTCACACATCTCTGTTCACATTCTTGCAGTGTCGGGAACCTGTTTCTATTGCCTCCTTCACCTTTGTAGATAAATGGCATACATTTCTTCTCCTGTTTATTGTAGTAGAACACGTGTACTTCCTTGTCTCCTTCTCCAGCATCGACTGGCCTCATGCATTCTCCTGTTTCAAAATGGCAAAACACAAAACAATCAATGAGCACTATAAACACGGAATCAAGTCTCTGATTAAACGAACTAGATGACACAGGCACGTGCATCGGGCAAAGAGAGATGTTACTAGTGAGTGATGCTCTCACAAATCATGGTTTTTGCCCGCCTTCAGATGTGCGTTCCGAAACCTTTGTAAGGCAAACCACAACCTCCAGTGATGGAAGAACAAATGTGCTCTCACGGACCAAACATATACTTCGACATATGTAATGGCGTTCTGTTTGTCATAACCAGAGTTCGTTTGGAACTTCCATCGATATCAGTCGACGGACTCTTGGAAGATTGCACATCATGTTTTTCGGATTTTGATGAACATACGAACAGTTCAATAACGCTCAACCTAACATACAATTTACTATGGAACACGAACAGAATGACATGTTCCAGTTTCCTGATGTTGCTATAAAACGTAGGAGAGACGGGACAGTCCAACGTTCGGTTTATCGAAAAAGTACTTGGAATGGCATTTACCTGAATTCCAATAGCTTTTGTCCACTGAGTTACAAGAAGGCATTAGTTAAAACACTATTTTATAGGCAGAAATGATATGTACCACTGACAAACTCGAAGAAGAATCGATGAAAGTGGAAAAATGCCTGCGAGACAACTTTCACCCACAAAAGTTAATTGACAGGTATAAGAAGCGTAAAGAAAACAATACTGAAGTTATTACTGTCAATAAAAAACCAATAACTATAAGTCTTAACTCCAAAGGTGACGAGGTTGCAAACACAATCAACAGGAGACTGAATACTGCGCTAGCCAGAACTTATCCGGCGGTCAAACTTCAAATTATGTATAAAACAACATGCTCAATAACTCAGTCAAAAGTTGATAAGCATCCTTTTCATGTTACCGCCAATTGTATTTATAAATTTACGTGTACCTGCCAAAGCAGCTACATTGGCCGAACAGAAAGGAGGGCATATCTCAGATTTTTTAAACATGTTCCAAAAAGCCTCAGAACAAGAGAAAGAAAGACTCTAAATAGTGCAGTCACCAAACATCTTCTTGATATAGGACATCAGGTCGATACCCTACAATCATTCAAGGTGATTAGTAAGCAGCCAAACTCCAGTCTTCTGAGGTTTGCTGAAGCAGTTGCTATCAGGCGCCAAAAGCCTGATTTATGTGTTCAAAAGGAGATGGTTAATAATCTTTCCTTGCCTTCGTGATCAATATTCCTTCGTTATATCTTAATAATTTTTTTCTTTTTCTTTAAACTCTTTCTTGCATTTATCACACCATTGAGTTTCATTCCAACTATCTTATTTTACCAACTGAACTCTACTCATTTTATTCCTATCAAGGTTTATTTGTTTCTAACCGTTTGAACTGATGTCACAATGTTCTTTCATCACCAAAGGTATATATTTACAGTATTCAGTCTATTAAATTTATTAACACCCTTGCTATACTATATGAATATGTCTCTAATATAACTTCCAACCAAACTCTTTTATGTAAGTAATTTAAACCCATTAATTATGATTTTAAATATCACAGGTTGTAAGCAGCTGACGAGAACCAACGAAATAAAAATGAATTCATGATATTTTGCCAAAATGTTTGTTCTCGCTCTTCTCAAAATGATAAACGGAACTATGTGTATGAAACATATGAACAGTTCAACCGCAATCACAACACAATTACGGTGGAAACATTGACATTAAGAGCAAACAACTACACTTACGATGGAGTTTATCGGCGAACACAATCTCACACGAGACGACCAATGCAAGTAGGAGTGAAACCTTGATGCTCATTTTTCAGTGACTATTTCGTGTTCGTGTGGTTTGTTTTGGGACTCCACTCTGAGCTATTTATACTCACAAACCTGTGAGTTAGCCAGTTGTTTTTGGTTGACACACAGTCGCAACTGCTCAAAGAAACGGATTGGTAAATGTCATGCAATCGATTCCTGGGATTAGTAATTCTGTTTGAGTGATTCGCATGAATCAGGTCAACACACTTCACAAATTTCTATTCAAGTCAATCGAGATTAAGGTTGTTGTGTGTTGTGAACCCGTTCTTCTGTGTCCTCATCAAAATTGTTATTGTGATATGAGGATCGTGGCCTGATGTGGTGAGGTGAAACTAGTTCGCAGTGAGGATTATTCAAGAATCGATAGGCTTTACTGTCAGTTGATCAGGTCACATGTGGCGAGATAATGACATTGAACGGTTTTGTTGAACAGCGAAACGTGTGATGGTTGTTGTGTAGGTGACAATGACTGTGTATTTCGAGGTACTCGTTTGAGTATTGTGAAGCATACGTCGAAGTGTTCAGAGTCTAATTCACATATAAAAATGAATACTTGCAACTCGTGTGTACAGAATTTCGACCGGATTGCCAGCCCTCGTAAACATGTGTGAATAATTATCGGCATAATCGGTGATGGGCTGCAAACAAGTTAGTTCAGCTCAACGAAATTCGTGATAGATTCCACCAAACACTTGTACTATTATCTGATCGATAAACGTAAATATTTGTGAACGTTTGACTGTGATTACCAGGTAGGATAACTAGTGCTCAGGTTGGGTGCTGAATGTTACGTTCAAGTCTGCACAACCAAACTCATAAACCAAATAGCTTCACAATTTCGTTACATACAGAACTGATCGTCGAATGTGATCATATATTTTTATTGAAGCTCACATGGAGTAAAAGTCACTTGAACGTCAGTCATTTCACAATCCAACAATCGGTAGAAATCAAAAATAGGTGGTACGAAGTAGTTGTGAAAATGCTTGGATGTTTAAGGAAGACTAGTTGAGGAACACAATTGACTAGAGTGATTTGTGATGGTGCCAAGAAGAACATGGTCAGTTCATATTATAAACGAAGACGAAAGCTGCAAATGTATTTCAGTCGAAACACTGTACATCAACGTGACAGCTTTCGAACAACTCTCATCCGTTGAATATAATTGTAGTACTATGATGAAAATTACTATGATTTTGTTCAACATCTAAATAAAAGACCACGTACTTTGGTCACGACGGTGCAAAGATTATTCATCTGACCGAAAGTTAAGTG